TCTAAAAAATAACACACCGGCATCTGTTAAAATACTTACCCACAAGATCAGACTGTTGGTAAGCTTGTCCAAACCTGTTCTTTTGAATTTACTCACCCCTACAGGGAAAATCATAGTAAAGTTAGGAAATCGTATTGTTGTAAACAATTACTTGTAAGAAGATTTTCATGCATGCAAGATCTGAAAAAAGTGCTGCATAATGAAAAACATGTTGAAACTAGTCATCAACTAGGATTCTTAGTGCCTTCTTTAAAATTGCCTGCTGCCCTGTTGGTGCCTTCCCATTAATCAAACCCTACTCAAACAGGAACATCAAAAAAATCCATTTACAAAGTACTAGACCCTTCCAATTCTGAGATTAACCAATAGTAATTTATTTTTCAAATGTCAAATTGGCGTTCAAATAGAATATCAACTACAATGCATTGTTTGTCAGTAAACCCCAAATTCTCAAAACTGTCATTACAGGAAATGTATGACAGACAGTAAAGATAACTGATATCAAGATCAGGGGGAAGAAAGAGTTAATCTTAATCCATACCAGTGTTCATCATGAGTTTAGTATCATGGCCAGCATATATCACCACACCATATACCCATTTGGTGTTGCGCAGCACACAGCCCTGACAAAGGCAAATATATTAAAAGAAGTGAAAAGTTTGATAAGATTTCCTGCTCATTTTTGAAGAAAATTTGAAACTAAAAAATTAATTATTACCCTCACTTTATCAATTTTTGATGTCATATCCAGACACTATGTTAAGTTAACATTTCTTGGCACTGCGCCTAAGTGCAGCATATAAGTCAATAAATGCTCACATAAACCTCTTAGTTTCTCTGTAGCTCTCCTCACCACACATTCGATTTTCAGTTATATAATTTTATGTATGTGTAATTCCTTTTATCTATACTTATGTGTTATAATTACAAAATGGCAAAATAGACAAGAAAAATGTCTACCAATCATTTTCAAAGATAAAAGGATAGCCTTGACGATATAAGAGCCAGAGGTTCCTTAATGAGCCTCACGTGATTAAGTGTTGGCTGACAATGTTAGCTCAGTCAATAAGGTTTGGCAAAGCTCAAATTAAGTTAGCACAGCCTAGAGGTACCTCCAATATAAGGGGATTTAAACAATAATGCTTTACATGTTGTTCAATTGTACTGATTGTTTCTAAATAAGCTGCTTTGTTATCCCCCACTCCCATCCACACTCAATATAAAATATTTACAAGTTTTCTTAGATGAGCATTCACTGCACTCCCACCAGGTATTTATATATATTGTATATATAAATTCTTACATTGGTGCTCTGAAGGAGGGCAATTGGTTGAACCCACCTTACATCATACAAAGTTAAACTCATGCAAGTTTAGCTGAAGAAATTATTATCAAATGTTCCATTTCAGGAGAAACGTTTAAAAAGCATACCCTCAAGATGACATTTTCATTGTCCAGAGGATAATTATTTCCATCATACATCAACCTTCCTTGAAGTTTTTCCAGCCTGTTGTTTGGTGGATCACAAGTAATTTCCACTAAAGACAAATACATAAATGTTATCATTAAATTGAGAAGACCACTTTTAAAAATGGCAAAAATTTTATCATTCATATTTCCTCAGCTGTTGAATGGCCCTCTTTTGCTTGTTCATGCCTCCAGAATTTTTTAAGTGGAAACAGTGAACAACTTACACGCAGACAAAAGTTTTACACATATTTTTACACATAAAATAGCAAAGGCAAGGAATCTCAGGAAAAAGAGATATTGTGCAGCTCTTAAAGGTTTATCACATTTAAGGAAAATAAACACCTGGAAAATACATACTTTGCACTTTTGAGAGTTGCTGTTCATCATCACCAAGCTCTCCAGTTTCAGGAAGAGGTTGACGACACTTCAGGTTGGTCTCCCTTTGGATTAGAAAACATACATGTAAAACCAGCTTACTCAGCAGACTGAAGGTTACCATGATGATGAAATACAGATTGGACTGCAATTTTTCTCACTTGTCACAGTGACAAAACCTGTCACAGCTTGGAAGAAATATACAGTTGAAATGAAATCCAGACTTCATGATAATCAGACAATCTATTTTCAAAAGACTGCTTGGCTTTGAGATAACTATAGTTACTGCGTACAGTTGGTCCTCAATTATCCAGATTTTTCTTTAATCTGGACTTGCTTCTATCATAATTATAGATTAATCACATTGGAGATCCATAACAACTTTTCCCATCAAACGAAGCAGACATACTAAAACAATTTTGATGCTATTCCATAATCGCAGCTTCAGAAAATGATAGAATTAGAAATGAGCAGAGGCTGTAGCAGCTTGAAACAAACTGATCTATGCCAGCATTTTGGATCAAAAAATGTTGTTGTCAACAATGTTTTGGAAAATACTTTCAATTGGTAAACGTCAGCAGTGTTGCATATCATAATTTATTTTTGGCTCATTAGTATTTGTACTTTTAATTATTCAGACTCTTGATTATCTGGACTACTTAGCCCAGTCCCCACAGGTCTGGATAATTGAGGTTTGACTATACATGCTCTTTACCCCTTTAACTCCCAAGATCTGATTGCTTATACTCTCCTCTACCTGCTATACATTTCTTTGAAAATTAGTTACAAGAGTTTGCTGTTTGATCAAGATAACAACTACTTTAAGCTGGTAAGTTTGAGTATTCTCAATACCCACATGTATTTGCTACATGTTAATCACTTCTGGGAGTTAAAGGGTTAACTGCAATTTTCCTTTCCATAAGATATCAATGATTCAAAAAAAATTTGATGTTCTTACCCATCCAGCTCAGCTGTCTCAATGTAACATAATCCATTCTCTTCACTTGTGGTGAGCACAACTACATCAGCCTAATGAATCAGAAAAATAATATAAAAGTCAAGAAATCTGCCAATCAGCAAAATCAAAGAAGCCAACATTGTCAAATAAAACATGTTCATTAATTTACTATCAACACATTTTAAATATATATATTACTGCCACAGACCAGTGGCCTGAATCCCAAGGATTCTTAAGATTGGTTTTCACTTGGAACAGAGTCAAAGTCATAAACAGAAGTGCAGAGGGATACAATGAAGTGAAAATCAAACTGACAGTATTGGAAGAAAAACGTCAATGCTGCTCTTGACTCCACTGCTTACATTCCAGTAAAACCTAAATTGTCATAATCGTAAGTGGAAGACTGTACTAGAAGGGCCTGAGAACTGGCATGGTGATTGGTTGGTTCTTCCCTTTTCACTGATCATTTTTTCCTGGCCTTTTAATTTTCCTCTTTTATCAAGGATCAGCTACAACCCATTCTTCAAAGTCTCCCTTTATCTTCACCCCTTTATTGTCTCCTCACTCCACCAGTTCCAAAACTCACACATCACACTTTTTCACACTGTACTGACACTTGAAAAAAACACCCCAGACAAAATAAAGATTACCAGTGAGCACATCATTTTCTATCAAAACAGTGAAGCCTAACTAGTGCTGTAATTTCCTTTGTTCCAGAGACTTTACAATGTTAATTGGTATTGATCAAAGGAAAACAGAATTCATACTTTAGTTTGAATTTATTTTAGACTTGAAATCTTTTAAATCATAACACCAACACCATGCCGAGTTCAACTGCCCTTAGCCTAATCTGGGTAAAACTAGTTAGTACTTTAAACAACTCACAGGGATTTGCTCATTGTTGTCAATTTGAAGAACTTGACCAACTTGAAGATCCATCCAATTTTCTTCCTTCGGCCTTTGAAAAAAGGAATCAACAAACTATGAGTTTGTACAGCTAAGTTATACAAGCTGAGAAGAAGCTGAAAGTGCCTAATGCAGCAATCATCATGCAAAATTCTGAGTGAGGAGCATGGAAAAATATTGCAATTGAAATGCAAAGAATTAACAAGCCTGTGATTTTTTACCAAGAGCAAATCAGTTGCAGGTATTTCAATACATTATGATCATAGTGATGAATTCATTGTTTCACAGAAATTATTCAATGACATGTAACTTACCCACTGTCAGTGAGAACCTTTGCTTTTCTGTTATTGACTGCTTTATCACTTTTATGCCGTTTCTGTAATGTGCAAATTTAGACATGTCAGTTGGCTATACTCTTGACATTCCATTGAAAGTTTGCATGTCCTTAGAAGTTGCGTCACATACACTACCAATCAAATTGTTCCCAAACTTGTATTAACACGTCATGCAAAGAATTCTTTGGTCATACTCATATGATCAAAATAATAATTATCATCACCCATTTTGTACTTCTACCAATGGAAAAAAATTAAAGGAAAAATCACTCAACCCTTTGAATCCTAACACTAGAGAGTGCCTAGCATCTAATTTCTCCTAACATATCACCCCTTGATCACATATTGAGGTCATGAGAAAAAGGAAATAATCACCAACTAAAGAAGCTCTTAATTGTTTAAAACAAATTCTCCTTGTCAGCACCTTAGGAAAAGTATAGAGAATAGTGTGGAGAATAGACATTGTACATGATGCTGGATGTAAAGAGTGAATAAGGGAACTTACAATGTCATCTGCACCATCTTTTACTCCTGTTGCTGCCAAAACACAAATGAGAGGTACAGCTGTAGCTTCTGGACTCAATGCAGTGATTTTTGGTATAGACTAGGAAAAAAAATACTTTTATTTACCAGAAAAGAACAAAAATAACATTATGTGTCAGGAAAAATAATTATCCTAA